GGGGAGGGAGGGAGTGTGTACTGACATTGACCTGACACTTGCAGTGTTGTCAAGGTAGTGTGTTTACTATATAAGATCTTTAAGCAAGAATGTTTTTTTGGGATCAGGTAGCATGTAGCAATCATTTGATTTGTTCATAGACAAGTGTTTCATTGCTTTTCTAACCATTCTTGAATCCTTGCACGATTAGGGTTTGCACATTGGAAAAATGATAGCTTTTTTTTTTTTTTCGAACGGCAAGAGCTTGTGAACCAAGCTGATTGTGCTGTGTGAACAAGACTACCTTGCATAGCAATTTTTCTGTGTCAGATTTTAATCTTTACCTTCAAGTGTTTTTAAAACAATAATTCTCATTCCTTATAGTTGTAACTGTAAAATAGATTTTGCTAATATTTTGCTCTTGATTTACATGTTTCATGTAAAAGAACATTGAGCCTATAATCTCAGTTGCCACTGTGTTTATCTGGCTAGGCATAAGTAATAATCCGGTGACAGCATTAAAAAATGTTAATGTTAAATCCCAAATTAGTTTAACATCTTGTAATCTTAAATGTTAATGATTAGACATGAAAGTAATGAGCCAAGCACATAATAATTGAAAAATACTTTTAAACTTATCAAATGTAAAATACAGATCACAAGGCAGGCTTTCCAAGGAGACGCAATTTTAAAAGGACTTTAGAGGATGAAGGTATTGATCAAATAAACACCCACTATCCTAGATTTTTCTGCTTCTTCTGACACTATAATTAATCAAGTTATGTTTTATACTATAACTCTTTCTGTGCCTCTCTTATTTAGTGATCTGAATGATTCAGTGGAGGGCTGTTGGTTTATCAGTTTTTATCATAAGAACTGAAAAACCAGCGGCCATTCAATCATTCACTGTTACATGTTTTACCCTATTTAAATAAAGTTGATTTTGATTATGATAATGATTATTAATATTAATATTGAAATTGATATTGTTTAAACTATAACTCTTTCTGTGCCTCTCTAAGTTAGTGATCTGAATGATTGGAGGGAGGCTGGTTTTTCAGTTTTTTTTATAAAAATTGAAAAACCAGTTGCCATTCAATCATTCACTGTTACATGTTTTACCCTATTTAAATAAAGTTGATTTTGATTATGATAATGATTATTAATATTAATATTGAAATTGATATTGTTTAAACTATAACTCTTTCTGTGCCTCTCTAAGTTAGTGATCTGAATGATTGGAGGGAGGCTGGTTTTTCAGTTTTTTTTATAAAAATTGAAAAACCAGTTGCCATTCAATCATTCACTGTTACATGTTTTACCCTATTTAAATAAAGTTGATTTTGATTATGTTAATGATTATTAATATTAATATTGAAATTGATATTGTTTAAACTGTAACTCTTTCTGTGCCTCTCCAAGTTAGTGATCTGAATGATTGGAGGGAGGCTGGTTTTTCAGTTTTTTTTATAAAAACTGAAAAACCAGTTGCTATTCAATCATTCACTGTTACATGTTTTACCCTATTGAAATAAAGTTGATTTTTATTATGATAATGATTATTAATATTAATATTGATGTTGATATTGTTTAAACTGTAACTGTTTCTGTGCCTCTCTTAGTTACTGATCTGAATGATTGGAGGGCAGCTGGTTTGTCAGTTTTTTTTATAAAAACTGAAAAACCAGTTGCCATTCAATCATTCACTGTTACATGTTTTACCCTATGTCACACCATACCACATGAAGGCAATGCCAAAACTTCATTTAATTAGATAGCAACATTACTAAAATAAACTAAGTTCATATTTAATATTGATATTGTTAAAACTGTAACTCTTTCTGAGCCTCTGTTATTTAGGGATTTGAATGATTGGAGAGCCGCTTGTGAATCAGTTTTTATTATAAAAACTGAAAAACCAATGGCTTTCTAATCATTCATGGTTGTGTTTTACCCTATTTAAATAAAGATGATTTCAATTATGAAAACGATTATTAACATTATTAGTATTGTCATCATTATCATTATTACTATTATTATTATTATTATTATTATTATTGAAAGGGGTAAAGTCTTAAATTTGTATTCGTGACTGATATGTAACTTCTCCTCACAATACACAACAATAATTCACCAAAGGGGTAAAGTCTTAAATTTGTATTCATGACTGATATGTAACTTCTCCTCACAATACACAACAATAATTCACCAAAGGGGTAAAGTCTTAAATTWGTATTCRTGACTGATATGTAACTTCTCCTCACAATACACAACAATAATTCACCAAAGGGGTAAAGTCTTAAATTTGTATTCTTGACTGATATGTAACTTCTCCTCACAATACACAACAATAATTCACCAAAGGGGTAAAGTCTTAAATTAGTATTCGTGACTGATATGTAACTTCTCCTCACAATACACAACAATAATTCACCAAAGGGGTAAAGTCTTAAATTAGTATTCGTGACTGATATGTAACTTCTCCTCACAATACACAACAATAATTCACCAAAGGGGTAAAGTCTTAAATTAGTATTCGTGACTGATATGTAACTTCTCCTCACAATACACAACAATAATTCACCAAAGTGGAGGTGAAGAGTGGTGGATATTTACTGAGCCGCATGCCATCAAGACAGTACTGTCAATTTACTTAATGGGAAATAGAGTTGACCTTACTTAAATGTCAAGGTATTTATAAATTCCCAACGGCCAAAACCAATAAAAATTAATCATAACTTCCATGATCTCATTCATAAGTCTCCTAACTGTCTGTCATACAATTCTTGTAAAGTTAGTTTGGAGAAGTTGGTATTAGACCAACCAGTAATCCCTGAATTGATATTTTTCTATATTCTCATCACTTGTCTGCTTGACATTGTATTGATACAGTAAGGAGATATTCTGTATTGGTCACTGATAGGAGTTAGAGGGTTAAAACCGAGCTCATTCTCATCATTCACCCTCCAACTTTAAATTACGTGTTCAAATGTTTATTGAGGATTCAATAATTGTGTCAAACAACAGCTATCCATCTCTGTGCTCTGATAGCTTTACTAGCTTCATTTATTTTCTTTCCAAGGACCAGACCCTGAAGTACTAACGCTACGAGGTCGTAATATCTACTTATACCCACCTGATGAGTACCTTGACATAGACACATCACCACACCCCCCTGAGGAAAAGCTGCAGCTGGAGTGGGTGTAAGTTATATGCTGCGTTCATTGTTTTCGTGTGTATTCATTGAGTTTTATGTGCGAGTTGAAAGAATTTTATTGTATTATATATATTCAGCACTTTCGCATTGGGTGTCGTAAAACCAAAACCTGACAGCTTGTCAGAGCAAAATTTAACGCCACAATGAAGGAAGTAAGGAAAAGTGCCTTTCCGAGTAATTGGCGTCATTATCACGTGGGTTTACATAACGCACATGATACATGCCACAGCCCACGTGACACATACATGCAGCTTTGTTCATGCGATTCCGCCCAAGAAAGTGGTCAACCGAACTGTTTTCTTGTTTCGGTTTTTCAGATACGGTTACCGCGGCAGAGACTGCAGGACTAATCTGTTTGTGTTAAGCTCGGGAGAACTAATTTACTTCACTGCAGCAGTGGTTGTGATGTATGACGTACCCAACCATAAGCAGAGGCACTACACAGAACATACGGACGACATCAAGAGGTAATCCTCTTTAAATTAAGTGGTTCCTCGGTAAATAGCATTATTCACGTTCCTGTACAGTAATCTATAAGTAGCAGTGCTGGCTAGTTACTGATTGTAACAGCTACAAGCTAAAAAGCAATGCAGTAGCATAAGCGACTTGGACTATTTTCTATTTCCCCCTGGAGGGGTTGAAAATCGCCAGGTTCACCTTTTCATCTCGTCCGGTCTCCCTGTGGGTTTGCAGTCACTGAGTCACTTATTTATACAACTGATTCCGTTTGTTCAAGAGGCGGTTTGCATCTTCTAGGATCAAAGGTTAATTTTGGTTTTGATTTCTTTTCTTTGAAAGCCTATTTTTTCTGTGTAAAGCGAAGCTGAATGTAATGAAAGATAAGCAGAAAAACTCTCTGTAAAGTTATTAACCCAAGGGTAGCTTAATGGTGTTTTGAACAACGCAGTCTAGGTAGGGACACCCCGGTGAAGTTCATCCTTCCCTTCCCAATCAATGATTTGAAGTTTTTTTCTTTCTTTCTTTCTTTCTTTCTGAATCACATAAAGGACAACACTGGTTTGATAAATACAAATGAATAAAGGGGGTAAGTTTCTAAAGAAACTGTGGTGCTGCGTCAGTGGGAGTAACAGGATAGTTTTGGTTTTATCAAATGAGTTGATAAAGTAAACTGGCCACTGAAAAGAGTTTCAAAGCTGACGTTTCGAGCATTAGCCCTTCGTCAGGGCGACATACACCCGATGACTAGAGATTCGCAATTCCTGAATGGAAATTTAAATAAAGTACCAGGAAGGAATGCAAATTTCCGTGAAATTTTCCAACTTTTAATTTTTGTACCGATCTGTTCATTATAGTTTGTGTGTTCACCCCGATAAAGTTACAATAGCTACAGGCCAAGTCAAAGGACGCGGTGATGACGCAAGGGTAAGTGTGACCGATCACCCTACATCTTCTCCTGCCCGATCCCAGTAAATTTCCTTTTTTAAATGTTTTGAGAAGTGAGATTATTGATCAGGGCTGGGTTGTGCAAAGCTTGGTTAAGATAACCCAAATCTGAAAGCTTCAAAAGAAAAATCAGTATAATTCTATTTGTCGACAATTTGGATGCTCCTGAAAGAGGAGAGAAAATTATCGCGAAAACGTGTTTGAACGGAAGAAAAAAAGAAACCCGGATTAAAATTTAACCTTGGGTTAGCGCGTATCGACCTTCGAACAACTGGGTCCAGGAATAATCATCAGTTCCCATACACGGTTCTCAGTCTGAGAATTAGTTCAACTTTTGTTGTTGTTTTTGTCTTTTCAATTGACAGTCGCATATCAGAATTTGGGATTCCAACTCTTTAGAAACAATTTGCGTCATTGGACTGGATCATTTCGAAGACGCTGTCTTTGCTCTTGCATTCTCTAACAAGGTGAGCCATTTCAGGGTTAAAAGACAATTTTCTTTTCGTTCAAGCCCATGCCAAGTCACATGTTTCTGCCATTGGATTTGCTCGTAATCACATGCTTTTAGCAAGGATGGCGTAGTGGTGGGAGCTGCCGCCTCCTTAGCCAGCTTGCAAACGGCTACGTGTTTTTCCAAGCGCGAGATTCAGCGCGGCATATTGACGCCATATTGGACGGGTGGAAGATTTGGAACGAGTGACAAAGTGAGGGGGAGAGGAGAAAGGGAGAAAAAACCCGTCCCATATGGCGACTGAATACTTGCCGCGCTAAATCTTGCGTATGAAAACACAAATTACCACCTGTAAGCAGGCTACCACCTCGTTCCAATTCAAATACTAGACACCTTTTAAATATTATTTATTATTATATTTTTATCCTTTTACTTATTTTTCTTTGATCAAGACAGTAATGCTGCGTTTCTGCTTTTATTTCAACAGAGAAGCCAAGGAGAGTATCTTGCATCAGTTGAGGATAATGAATATCACACCATAACCGTGTGGGACTGGAAACGAAAGAGAAAAATTACTTCTGCTAGGGTATGAGTTCAGAAAAAAGCGTTAGTGTGGGTGTTTGTTTTGACTCAAAACTATTTCACTGACTGCGTTTGATTGTCACTAGAAGTTAATTGATATCCCTGAGCAAGGATCTCGGTATCTCAGCCGTCTCTTTGAGTAACAGCTCTCAAAAAAACGAAACAAAGAGAAAAATGAATTAAATCAAACAAAAACGACAAACAAGAAACACTAAAACAAACGAGAGGTTAGAGATCAGTTACTGCCTACGAAGCTCTTTTCATTTCGTGTCAAAGGAAACGCCATGAGAAACTGAATAAATCTGAAACTAACACATTCGAAATAAACCAATTTCTTTGGATATTAGGGTAACATGGACCAAGTGTTGGCGATCAGCTTCTCTCCGTTCGAGAGCCAACAGTTTGTGACGTGCGGTAAACAACACGTGTCATTCTGGGAATTAGAAGAAAACAAACTGAAACAGGCGAGAGGAAGGATGAGTGTAAGTCAACTGTTTATCTCATTTTCCTATTGATGAGGGGGAAACGAGAGGAGTAACGAGAAGAAAACAAATTGAAACAACCGAGAGGGAGGATGAGTGTAAGTCATCTTTGGAGACCCAGGGGCTGTGAGTTGATTTCAAGTTAGGGCGGAAGAGCCCTGGGGACATTGTCTTATAAGACTATTTCCAAACGGTCGCAGTCGTTCTTTCATCAGATTGGTGCCAGATAATCTTTATGTTTTTCTGCCCAATCAGAGTGAAGTGTGCTTTAGAGTCCTTTCGTGTGTTTCAACACGCACATATCCAAGAAGCGCAGTATCTCGCTTAGGTTGTTTGGGGCGTGCGACGTAGCCTTGCTCTAGGTGAAAAGTGTCAGTTTCAGCACACATTGTAAGAGAAATCGATCAGATTGTCCGCAAAAATCTCACCGGAAATTATACTGAATACTTTCGCAGGTATCACAAGAGAAAGTGTATAAAAGTTTGCGAGGTTCGTATAAAACACGATGGTTGCAGGCGTTGATATGTCGCGTTAAACGAGATTTAAGCTCAAATCTTTCTAGATTTTTTGTACAATTTGCTGTGAATGAAACTTTACCAATCTCGTGAAGTTATTTCGTCGCACGGGCCACGCAGGTATGTCGAGCAACTGGCGCTTATGCTTACGTAGCTTTCTGTGCGCGCCAAAATCTAATCTTTGCTTTGTAGTAAAGTCTTTCACAATATGGCCAAACTTGCAGAGAACGTTAAGTTCGTGGACGACCTCCAGCAAGCGCTTACAGAAAGCTTA